CAGCAGGATTTATTTATTCACCCAGACTTATCTCAAGAACAGTTCACCTTTACCCCACCTCTTTGCTCTCTCACTCCAGCTAAGCTACTGTCAGAGAACTCAGAAGATGCCAAAGAAAAGGTGGAGCAGACATGGGGGGAAGATCAGATTATACATTTACTGTTTGAAAAAAATCACTTAAAGCGATTTCAGATATTTGAGTTTGCCTACTTTCATTTCAATCAAAAAGATTACTCTAAATAGAAATTACCACAGTATTTGTTTTTTATTTTGAGTCTAAGTCTATTAGATTTCTTTTTGTGGAATGCACTTCCAACTCTCATTGCAAGGAATCATTTTCCCCCTTTATTTAATTTAAATGTAGCAAGGCTCAGTTCAGACTCCATATTTTCTTTGCAGGAGCTTAAGGAATTTTCCTTTCACATTGAGTTTGGCCAAACAAAATCTATGAACTACACTTTATCATTCCATGATGAAAAGATTAGGAAACCTAATCACCAAACAAATGAAAATGGCAATGCAATACTAATGAAATGATATTTTAAAGGGTTTTTGAAAGTATTTTAAAAATATTCCTGTGATAGCTACTCTGAAGCCCAAAGAATATTTCCCCATTAGCATATAATAATTGCCTGACTATGAAATAATTTGGAGAATGAGGGAGGCCAACAGGGACCTATATTTACATATTATTTCTAATAAATTAACAGGATGGTACAGAAACCATAAAAAAGAACCCTTTGGCTGGAAAGATTTACACATGGGTATTGTGCAATTCACTTTCTGATCATGCTATTATCATTTCTATATACCATAGTAAATATACTTTCTAATTTGCCTATGATCTCTCTTATGAGGTGTGTTACTGAAATATCCTACAGAATTTCCAAAAAGATTGAGTTTTGTTTTTAAATGCTGCTTAAATAAATTATCTTATTAAGGCAAAAAAATAAACAATTTTTGTTGCAGTAAAGAACAAACTAACCCTATGTCCAAGTCCTGCCCTTGTCAGGCTCTGGGTCCCCTGGCATCCAAGTCTAGGCCTGCTCTTGGCCCATACTTGCCCCTAGGGTTCAAGGAGACCATGCTCCTCTCAGGTGCTAATGGGACCTTCAAAACCACCCCTCTGAGTCCCACTCAAACCACCAAACTAAACTGTAACAAAAACCTAAGCCCTTCTAGCTATACTTAAACTTCTAGCCTCCTGGCTACATATGACATACTCCTACTCAACCATAGGCTTTAGTCTGCTGCTAGTTCTCAGCCCCTTCACTTTCTGTCTCTGGGAATGATACGCTCACAGTCTGCCACTCAGCCACAGGCAACCTACAGTTAAGTTATTCCCTCTTCAGCCTCCAGGGCCAGGCTGCTTGCCCTGGTTTGGGCCCTGGCCTATATATGTCCCAGGCCTTGCCCCTTCATGGTCAGATGACTCGCCCGGGGTTCTCTGTAGATGCCCTCTAATTAGGTTCATTAATTGGGTTAATGGCAACAGCTGCAGCTGTGCCCCTTCTCCCCTGCAAGGATCTCCCTAGGCATTTTCTCCCTTGAAGTGACAGAGAGTCCCAGGCTCTCTGTTATATGCTCGTCTTAATCTGCTACTCAAAAACAGGGAAGAATTGGTGGGGAACATAGAAGTAGATGGCAGCTTGGGCAACAGTGACCATGAGATGATTGAGTTCAGGATCCTGAGGAAAGGAAGGAAAGAGAGCTGCAGAGTAAGGACCCTGGACTTCAGAAAAATCAGACTTTGAGTCACTCACCCCTGGGAGGCCAGTCTGAGGGGAAAAGGAATCCAGGAGACCTGGTTGTACTCCAATGTCTATGTTTAGTCCCTGATCTCTAGTATCCAGCAGGTTGATGAAATGGAGCTCATAGGCTCGTCTCTGGGATGTGTTGTGTAAATTTCCCTTGAGGATCAGGACTGAGAGATTGGAGAGAGAGTGGCCCTCCTGTGAGAAATGTGCCCCCACCGGTAATTGGGTGTTTCTGTCTTTGATGGATTTCCGGTGTGCGTTCATTCTGGTGCGCAGTTGTTGTCTGGTCTCTCCTACATATCTTCCATCAGGGCATTTGGTGCATTGGACTCTCAGTCCTGATCTTCAAGGGGCTTTCGGGTTCAAAAACCCTTCGTCAGGCTCAGGAAGCTGCAGCAGTTGGTGTGTGCTCTTCCTGGATGGAATGAAAATTAAACAAGCCGGGGCTGGGCTGGGGAGTCAGTTGCCAGGCAGATTGCTTAATAACTATTCTCCAACCATTTGGGTTGGTCTAATAAAAGATATCAAATTCACCCAAGGAACCTTGTCTGCCTATATCCTTAGACCAATACGGCTACAACCTAAACCCCTGACATTTATTGATACCTTCTGCAAAGAGCACATTATTCTGGATTGGGGAAAAATATTAAATCATATATATCTAGCAAAATACAATGCCCTCTTCTTAACTTTATATCTTTATTAAGAGAGCTTGATTAACCCAATCTTCTCCTCTGGACTTCTTTTAAAATCAACAGTTGTTCCCATACAAAGTACCAATTTGACATAATTTATAAGAAGAAATTAATAATAGTTTATATGAATGAAACTACAGGGAATTTTAGGTAGTTATAGTGCAACAATACAGAGGCAGGCAATGTAACAACCCTGTATTCTTCAATAAAGAGATGAAGACAAATTCCTATAAGGGTGCAAATGTACTCCAAAATGTTTAGGGGACATTTTTCAAAAGTATTTGAACATATAGATAGATGTTCATCAAAATTATGTGTACTTTTTGTGCACACCATAGAATTTATTCAAAGAAAACCTATTTATAACCAAACACATATTAGGATTATATTCTGACATGAATCCTCAGAAAACTTCATGTCCTCAATTTCCTTTAGGAATACAGGACATAGAATTAGAAGCCATCAAGTTCATTTGCAGATATGTATGACCATAAGCTTAAAATTAGATAGATTTGTCAGTTCTGTTATTTCTACTGTAAGGCTGTTCCAGAATCTCACTTCTCTCATAGCTAGGAACCTTATAATTTCAAACCTAAATATGTTCATGGCTGGGTAATAACCATTTGTTGTGTCACCACTGACATATCTTGAGAAGGTCTTCCCCATCCCTTGTGTTTTGTTCCATCATGTACTGATAGAAAACAAATCATCCTCTCTTTTGTTTAAAGAAGACAAACCCTGGACACGCTATTCCAGATGAGGTTTTACTAGCATCTGGTACAATGGCATTAATACTTCTGTGTGTCCCTCTTTTTCAGAACAGATTTTTGATAAAGCTTGATAATGTTATGATTTCATTCTATTTCACTAGGACTATATCATTTTGATAATTCATGGTCATCTCATGACCAACTACTAGGTCTTTCACTAAGGACCTAGTAGACCCTTTTAGCAAATTCGCTCAAGGGTTGCACTCAGAGGGTGGTAGTGGATGGGTTCGTGTCAACCTAGAAAGATGTGGGCAATGGGGTCCCTCCGTGCTCAGTTCTGCGGCCAGTGCTGTTCAACATCTTCATCAGTGATCTGGATGAGGGGCTGGGAAGCACCCGGTCCAAATTCATGGATGACACAAAATTATGGGGTGCAGCTAACATCCTGGAGAGTAGGAAGCAGATCCAGGCTAACCTAGACAGGCTGGGGAAGTGGAGAGAGAGCAACAGGATGCAATTCAATAAGGACAAGTGCAAGGTGCTGCATCTAGGGAGGAAGAACTGTCATCATACCTACAGGCTGGGGGGCGACCTTCTCAGCTCCACTGAGGCAGAAAAAGATCTTGGAGTCACTGTTGACTCCAGGATGAACATGAGTCGCCAATGTGATGAAGCAGTTGTCAGAGCCAATCGCACCTTGTGCATTCACAGGTGCTTCACAAACAGGTCCAGGGAAGTGATTCTCCCCCTCTCTGCGGTAGTGGATGGGTCATTGTCAACCTGGAGGGATGTGGGCAGTGGGGTCCCCCAGGGCTCTGTCCTTGGACCCGCGCTGTTCAACATCTTCATCAGTGACTTGGACAATGGGATAAAAAGCACCCAGTTCAAATTTGCTGACAGCACTAAGATGTGGCGGGATGTGGGCATGTTAGAAGGGAGGAATAGGCTGCAATTGGACCTAGACAGGTTACAGGGGTGGGTGAATGAGAACAGGATGGGTTTCA